AGAGAGAGAGAGAGAGAGAGAGAGAGAGAGAGAGAGAGAGAGAGAGAATGGACAGGTGAGGAGCAATTGACCACTGATGGCTTCTAGTAAGGAAGAGTAGGTTTCTTTAAGGGTGTGGCCTCTGATAGGTTGATCATGCTTTCCTGGATCACCCCACACCCGTGAGTATATAGACAACAAAAATGGACTTGCGGGACTATTATGAAAGAAAATAGAGGCTATGAAGTTGGGAGGGGATGGGAAGTGAGGCGTGGATCTGGGAGGAGTTAGGGGGAAAGTGGGGGTGAATATGATCAAGAGAGATTCTATGAAATTCTCAAAGGATTAAGGGAAACATTTTACTTAAAACAAATGAAAGATCAAAATACAAATCTCCTATAACTGGGACTTAGCTCTACCCAGCAGAACCTGTTGGGTGCTTCTGAGGTATACACTTTTGTCTCTATGAAGAGAGGATAAGATTGCTGACCAAGGGGTAAAATTGCGTTTTAGTCCGATTCAGGTATCGCTTGGTATCTTTCCAACCTTAGGCAGGATAGGAAAGTCGGCCTCTGTTTCCTAACTGCAGCCTGGTGTTTGTGAGGTAACATGGGTGGAGTGCTCAGTGCAACATCGGCGAAGAAGGAGCTCATGTAAAACTGTGAGCTTGGATATGACCTCATTTGGCGAGGCCTCCCCTCCCACGCTGTTCTTGGCCGCATCAGTCCAGTTTATGTTACATAAGTATAATTGTTTAAAAGCGCTCTAGTATTTCGTTAGTGTGATTTGCAAAATACTTTTGAATGGCTTTGGAATAAAGCCCGATAAAGCTAAGTGCTGCTATGGTTTCTAAAAGTGTAATAAAAACTTTCTAATCTAATGATTAAAATGAAAACAAATACTGAAGAGGTTTTTTTTATATCTCCAAGTGTAATTTTTTGGTATTTACATCTCACTATAAATGATACTTTCTTCCTTACAGTGTATCATTGTCAATTATTGGAATGCCTCATGAAATATAAGCAAGAAGTCTGGAAAGTAAGTGTGGATTAAGTTGATTCGTTTTCACTAACTGGATTTATAGAAATTGTAACAATTGCTTATTATAATTTATTTTGATCAAATTTATACCTGTCTTATTATTTTGATGTGGTAAACATGTACTTTTTTTTTTTGCTGATAAGATTATCACTCAGAATAGAACTGAAACTTTAAGAACAGAGTGTCCTGACAGAATAGTTGAATGTATCTTAGTTATTGAATTAGGCAAATATTACATTGCATGGTAAGTGGGATTTTAATTTGAAATTGTGTTAGAATTTGTCTTTTTTTTTCAAATAGCAGATATGAATTGTTAAGAAATGTGATTAGGAAAACATTTGCTTTTAAACTCAGTGTTTGGTATGTGGGCACACGCTGCTGTAAAAATCTTTCTTGGATTTGAATTTCATTAGGGGATTAATGGGCGGTGAACTTTTGAACTCGCCCTGGGGGCATCGTTTGCAGGACATATAAACAGACACATGAATGAATGATGAAAATGACGGGGTAACATAATTTAATCTGGAAAGTTCACCTGGATGATGAGGTCCAGAGAAATGACTCCCCTAAGCTCCCCCTTAGAATGTCTACTGCCTGGGTGACATTGGGTGCACGGCCTCTATTTTTCTTTGCTGTTGCTGACTCAGAATGCATTCCTCCCTCCTGCAGGACCTTTTATATGTGATTGCATATGGGCCTTCACAGGTGAAGCCCCCAGCGGTGCAGATGCTTTTCCACTACTGGCCCAACCTAAAGCCTCCTGGGGCAATAAGCGAGTACAGGGGGCTGCAGTACACAGGTAAGAAGAGCGCTCTGTGGTGGCCTGTGCTCATCTCTCCCGGGCCACCTGGGCCTCGCCCTATGTTAAAAAGACCATACATATTAGACATGGTCATGAGTTCTTTCTGACACAGAGTTTAATGAGAAGTCAATTAGCCAGGTGCGGTAGCCCAGGCTCTTGTGGAGGCTGAGGCAGGAAAATCAGTCAAACCTGGGAATTTTGGGACCATGCAGTGCAACATAGCAAGATCCCATCTCTAGATAATCAGAGTTGAGTGTGGTGGGGCAAGCATATGATTATCCCAGTCCTGGGAGGTGGAGGAAGGAGGATCAGAAGTTTGAAGTCAGTCTTGACTACATACCAGGTTTGAAGTCGTCATGAACTACAGGAAAATGTGTTTCAAAACAAAACAACCCATAGATAAACAAGCAAAAAACAAAACAAAACAAAACTTAATCATGCCAATTAAAATATTTATGACATCCTAGCAGATTGCCTAAGGCCTTTCCCAGTTGCTGTCTAAAGGGCCTGCATCTTGCCCACTGCTAAGATTAATTACAACAAAACCAGAGGTGACGGGAGCATGACTGCAGATTTGCTATCATTTAGCAGAGGCCCCAGATGCCTGATTCTGTTCTTGTAAGAGTGTTGGGCACATTTCCAGTGTTACGGGAAGAGTTCCATTATGACAATGAAGCAGTACCGTTCAAGGGGATGACATAGCCAGGCATGGTGACCCACTGCATCCTGCAGTCAGAAGTGAAAATCTCTGGAGCTCAAGGCCAGCCTGGGCCACATAGTTGATTTTTTAAAAGCCAGCCTGAGCTACATGAAATCTTTCTTTAAAAAATATAGTGACAGATATTTACCAAGAAACTTGCCAAAACAAAACAAAACAAAACAAAAAGACAGGAAGAAAGACTGACTGACACAAGGGTATAGGTTGCTGCTTATATATCATGAAGTATAAGAAAATCCCAGTGGCTGATGGAGTTTCTGATGTCCGCACCCATATCCCCTCAACAGTATCATATGTTTTGCACGTGGAAGGCGGATCCCAAGTGCTATACACTAGGATAACAAGCAGCAGCAATGTCAATGCGGGGGAAGGCAGACAGAATTCTCTGAAGTTGAAAGTCTCTTTGCTGATATTTTGTGTTGTTGGTAGTAGAGAGGGTTTCATTGTTGCTAGACGAACAATTTGAATGTGAAAAACTGGCACAGAGAGTAAATAGAGTACCTCCATAGAGTAAAAAGTGAAACGGCTGAAATACTTGACACTGACCCTTTTGTGTAGGGTTCCTGATATAAGCATCAAATCCCTCTAATACCAGTGAGATTTACTTGTATGTTAAATATTGATGAGATAACTGTGTCCCAGGCACTGTATTTTTGTTGTTGATATGGGAACCAACACAAAAGCAAACCTCATTAAATTGAATACAACCTAGATACAGAAATTTATTTTATTCAGCAAATATTCGTGGGGTATCTAGATGTGGAAATTCGTTTTATTCAGCAAATATTTATGGGGTGTCTGCTGTTGACCAGGAATTTCTCTGTGCACCAATAACAAAAACAAAACGGCTTATAGTCATTAGCATCCTAGAGTTTCCACACTAGTTGTGGGTGAAATACCTAGAGACTGCCTTCTAGGGCTACTAGCCCTCAGGTAGAGCGAAGAGATCTGTGGGGATCATGGGCAGGATCCTCGTTCATCCTGCTCATAGACGAGTCTGGAGGAGAGGTTTCTTAAGGGAGGTTCTCTCGTGAGTGGCGCTCCCTTGAGTGAAGCTTTAGCTGGTAGCTGAGGCAGTGGCAAGCACCTAACTAGACATGAGGAAACCATGAGCGCATAGACCGAGAGTTTAAGGTAGAAGGAACTTCGGGCCTTGTGAGGTGGACACAACACACAGCTTGGTGGTGTTTAGGAACTGGAAAATTACAGTGTGTATAGACAGTGGAATGCACAGGCCCGTGGAAGGCTGGCTATGCCTGTGAAGGAGCTGGGGTTGTTTTCCAACAGCAAAGAGGTTCCCGATACAGGTTTTGGTGAGACTCACCGGCCAGAGCATCCCACAATCCCAAATGCTGACAGTCATGGGATAGCCAAAGCCTCTGGCAAGGACCAACCAACACATACTGTAAAACTGGTCCAGTACCTGCATGCTAAGATCAGAGCAATGCTTTCTTGTTCTCGTGGACTGACGGAGAGGTAGTTGACTAGGGACACCACTCACCAGTGTGTCCTTGTAGTCGTGTGTCTGGCTTCCCTTTGTTCACTGCTGAGTCCCAAGGGCCACTTGTAGCCAGGCACCATCCTCACTGACCATGAGGGAGGTGAAAGTCATGGGAGAAGTCATCCACTGAGCTCTCTGTATTGCTGTGCATTTGGCAGCTGCTGCCTGTTGGCTGTTGTTCTCGGAGCTTTGTATCTTGATGCTTCCCCCTTCCGTGCCCGCCTACTGCTATTATTATCCCTGTCTTGTTTAGATAGCCATATTGTTGGTGTGTAGCTTCCCTGACATTTCTAGAGACACAATCTGACAGCAGATGTTGGGTCCTCTTGCTCTTACAAGCTTACATCTCCCTTTCCTGAAGCATTCCTTAAGCATTGTGTGCAGGGGTTGTGTTACAGACATATTGGTTGAAGCTAAACACCTCACGATCGGTTGTTCTCTGTACTTTGACAAATTCTGTGATCGGTCTGTTGAAAAGAGAAGTTTCTTTGACGACCAAGCACAGCACTTATCAGGCAGAGGTTCTCTAACCTGTGTTTACTTTTAGTGTGTGTGTGTGTGTGTGTGTGTGTGTGTGTGTGTGTGTGTGCCGGGTTTTCATGTATGAAGGCCAATGATTAATGTCAGATGTCCTCTTCTCTTACTCCTTACTTTATTGTCTAAAATGAGTTTTTTCATGGAATCTGGATGCCACTGGTAGATTGGCTGGCAGCAATCCTGCCATCTCTCTCTCTTTCTACCCCTCCATGCTGGGGTCACAGACTCATGCAGCCACGCCTGACCTTTTATATGCATGCTGGGGTCCAAGCTCAACTCCTTAGGCTTATTCGGCAGACACTTTACTGAATGAGCCATCGCCTCCCCAGCTGTTCCCCACCTTTTATTATAAAAATTACTAGAGCTGGAGAGAAGGTTCAGCTCTTAAGAGCACTGACTGGTCCTCTGGAGGATCTGGTTTCAATTCCCAGCACCCACATGACAGCTCACAACCACAGGTAACTCCAGTTCCAGGGCATCCGGCCTCTCTTCTGGCCTCTGTGGGCACCAGGAGCACATGTGGCTCATATCCAGACATTCAGGCAAACACCCATACAAATAAAATAAAACAGAAGAGATATCATACAGTGATTGTCTTGTTACGGCACACTAGACAGTAAGTGACTTAGGCTTTGTAGCCAAGGACACCACCTGTTGTCACTTAGTTTCCCTTTATGGGACATAGGTGCAGCATAGGGTCACATTCCTAGGCAGAGCAGAGAGAGTGGGAAGTGCACTCTAAGACTACGCTTGGTCTGGATTATCGGACATCTAACCCGTGTTAGTGCACCTGGATTTTTGAGACGTGTGTGTGAGAAGGCTGAGCCAGGTCTTTCTGTTGTACTTTCTTCTCTTCAGTTATCTTGATTTTGTATCTACACAATTAAAATCTCTTGACTGTTTTGTGGGTGGAATTACAAACACATGCATGAAACCACAATAAGTATATGTGGAGCCTTCCCCCTTTGTTCCTTTAGTGGTGGCCTTCCCCTCCTTTCAACAGCAGAGGTTAGTTTTCTTGAGTTTGAATTTTACAAAAATTGAAGTGCCCATTGTCTGTATGTTTGTGTCTTTCTCTCTATGTACATGTTTGTGTGTATGTGTGTGTAGTGTGTTATCTATGTGTAGAGGATAACTGTTGTCTGTTTACCTTTATTGCTACAAATTGTTCATAAAAATGCGTGTACCACAATTTTCTTTATCTTCTCTACTATTGCTAGACATTTGAATTGTTCCTCCATTTTGGTTGTTGAAATAATGCTACTCTGAGCATATTTTGATATGTCTTTGATGTGAAATATATCCCTATGAATGAGCCTGCTGAGTAAGAGGCATGTGTACCCAATTTTAATAGATGATGATAGACAGCTTCCCAGTTCAATTATGCTAATCCACACTCTCATTAGGAGTGCATATTTATTGTAATAGCTTCATTAAACATTCTTTTATGTATCATATAACTATAGCACAATAAAATATACTTCCTTTTTAATCCACAAGACTGTTATGGATTCTTTTAAATCTATAATTTAACATCCATCATATTAATCATACAGAGGGCTTTCAGTATGCCGTTACTGCATGTGCTTAAAATGGCAAGGCTCATTTTATTTACCAATCTATTACAGTTTTATTCAGAAAGTTATTGTCTTAGTCAGTGTTCTAGTGTCATGAAGAGACACTGTGACCACAGCAACTCTTATAATGGAAACCATTTCCCTGAGCTGACTAGAAGTTCAGAAGTTTAGTCTATCATGGTGGGAAGTGTGACACATGCAGGCAGACATGGTAGCTGAGGGTTCCACATCCAGATCATCAGGCAGCAGGAAGAGCATCAGATACTAGGACTGGCTTGAGCATTTGAAGCCTCAAAGCCCATCCCCAGTGGCACAGTTCCTCCAAGGCCACACCTACTCCAGTAAGGCCACACCCTCCAATCCCTGTCAAGTAGCACCATTCCCCAGATGACCAAGCATCAAATATATGAGCCTCTGGGGGTCATTTCTATTCAAACCACCACAGTTAATGTCTATTCCTAATGCTTAAAATGTTTCCCTATAGAATTCCAATGATCTCATCTTACTTTAAAGCTTGTGATTGAGTGGTAGTTGATTTTTGTGCTGATGAGAAGTAAGGATCCAGTTTCAGTCTTCTACATGATATCATTTTCCCAGCATCCCTTGTTAAAGAAGTTTTTTTTTTAACGATGTCTGCTTTTGGTATCTTTTTCTAGGATGAAGT